TAAGGATAACATCGGTCAACGAGATTGACAACAGCCTGCGTTGGATGGGCATTGACGTGATAATGACAGCGAAATTGTGGTCAGCCAAGTCAAAGAGAGCTAATCGTAGGTACAAAGCATGTTATCTGCTCTGGACAGTTAGACAGAAAGCATTTAGCATTGTTGAATACTATACGGCAAATTTTGGAATGACTCCATTCCATAATATCGTTACATCGTACGCGTCGCCAAGCATTGAAAAATGAAAATTATCGTTCAAGTGAGTCAGTTGTGCTAGTAGCCTTAACGGCAGAATGGCTGCACGAGGAGAATTTCATAATTTGACGACACATAAGGTCACTGCATGCGGCGTGGCTCGCCGTGGCCTTAAAGTCACACTGTCGCATGGATCAGTGCACTGAATACCGCATCAGTCTTTATGAAAGTGGCTGCTTTTCCTTCCAGTCCTATTGTGCCCAATAACAAGATTCCTGTGCGCCTTTTTGGTCAACTTGTTTCACTTTCCAATGTTGGAAAGTTGAATGCTTCAGTCTTCAGACCTTTTGATTTAAGCGTGTGGATTGAAATAGCAACTCATCCACATGAGTGGCAGTCAAATTCTTACGCAAGCATTTTCAAGAAGAAGAAAAAGCTCTACTTTCTCTTTCTCATGCACTGAAAGTTAAACTTTGGGATTCCAAACAGACAATTAAGGAAATTTCGTCAACCTTGTTATGGTAACATTCAACTTTGCACGACCCATGAGCTAGAGTGAAAAGATGCGAGGTCATTTGCCTAGTACTTGGCGTCATTTACTTATTCTCTCGTACATAATTCAGTAAGTGCACATGACACTGAAGCATCGCTAACCCGGTTTAAATAAACATTTGTCAAATTCTACATGTTTTCATATTGGAGTCCGTGAAGTCAAAGTATTTTCATTCACGTCGATTGCAGGTAATTGAGGTCTTGTGTAGAGTGTCCAGTTCTTGCATAAGAACATTACAGAAAGGCCACATGAGTACATTTGCCAAAGCCATAGGAGTCAGCGAGGTGCCGAACTCACAATTATGTTGCCACTCCTACCAGCCAGATGTGCGTGATGCTTACACTCAGAGTAGCGGACACTAATAGTAGAACTTGTCTTGCCACCCAGCACACATTAATGAAGGACCTGCAGCAGCTGTGAAGGACAAATGACACCTCCACCGACGGTCAGACATCCATCATCGGAGTCGATGAGATGGTGGTCAAGGAGACTCGATTCAGGCCTGACCATACATGCTGATTTCGTATTGACGGTGAAATTCCTCAACACCTTCGATGGTTCTTGTACTCAGCTGGAAATTTATTAGAATGTCTATCACTCATAAAGTAGCTGCTAGTTAGATGTACAAAAGAGCTGCGTCGATGAAGATCGTGAAGTTTTATTGTACCTCCAATGAAGCAGGCAGGGGTGCTTAAATCAAATGAAATACCGCACTTCGTCATTTCACTAAACAGTTTCAGAAATCAGCCAATTTATACTGCACAAAACTTGATTAATTCTAAAATTGGGGGTAGTTCCACCTATCCTAAGGTTAGTCTTGAATTATCCTTCGACCCGCACACATTTCACCACGGCAGTTACCCATCGCAATGTTTAATATGCTTAAGACTTCACGACGAATGGCGAAGTTGAGTAAAATCTCCTGCGCTAAAAATTATAAGTAATCCACTGTTAAGTGTAATGATTGACACCTTTAAGGAAATGAGTTTAGCAATTCGCACAAGATGTAAACCGGAAACCACAGTCACTATTTCAGGTCAAAAAATGGCCTTATTTGCTTATCTTAAATTCAATTCCTCTTTCTGGCATGACTCCTCCACAGCTGCTACAAAATGATAGGTTTGGTGAAGGCGATGCACCATCTCATTCAACACCCCGCCTTCGACTCACTGAATATTTTCTTTGGAGTGGTCCAAGATCCTACCCAGCCATCCACGGAGTTGGCGCATGTGCTCATTCATATCCCCGTCAATGGACTTCACTTTCCGCCCACCACCTCGGCCGCCCACAGAAGAAGAGGAACTAGAGGAGACGGGGAAGCAGTGGGAAATCTATACGAATTGGACAAGAAAGGCAGTGTAGTAGCTGGTATTTCCGCCATAAAATAAACTCTAACTAAATATGCATGGCAGAAAGGACGTTTATATCAAACAACTTGCCACGAGGGTATCGTCTACTAAAACCTACCCCTACCTTAATGCAAATCTAAACTCCATTTGCAAGCATTCCTCTGCTAT